TAATTTCTTTTTGAGAATGTTGAGAGCAATAAGGGTCTCAAGTTTATCTTTTTTTTTTCTTAGTGTGAGAAGACAGTTGTAATAGTTTAAGTAAAGGAACATGTTGGTTATTAATAGTTTATCATTATTAAAGGAAAACTTTATTAATGAAGAGTGAAGCAGACAACTCTAAAAATAATTAAAGAAAAAGTACAACCTTTAAATACATGTTTTCCCAATATAAATAAATAGAATAAAATATATAAAGAATAATATACATATAATCTTAGTGGTTCTCCCAGAAGATCATATGAATTAATAAAGAAAAATAAAATAAAATAATAAATAAATGATAATATTAATCAAATATATTAATAATATCCTATAACCCCTTGATATCAATTACTAATTGAAAACACATGTTAATTAGTAAAATTATGCTGGACTAATAATTACTATAAGTTTTGGGTTTTGCATCACTTTGGAGCTTCGGGATCGGCAGATGTCATATGACTTCAGATATGTGTTTTAGTCTAATCATTAGTGTTTTTCAGCTGGAAGTCTAAATCCTTGATTATTAAGAAATCAGTATTAACAATGTCCTTTGGTCATTAATAAAAAATGTTTCTTTCATCAAAATATTTATAGTCTTTTAATATTATTTGAAAGGTTGTCATCTGACTTTTCAAAGAAAATCGGGATTTTGCCAGACATCTATAGATTTGTTATAACAATAGTGACATGAGAAGATGTGATTTAGGGTTTCAGGGTAGGCTTTGCATCAAGGACACAAGTTATCTTTATATAGAAGAAGTGTATTTTTTATGAAATTTGTCTTGAGTAGAAAGTTGATTTGCTACAATCTTGGTTCTAAAGGTTGCTAGTGATCAGAATTTTATTCTGTCAGTTTCTCTTAGTCGCTTGTTAGATTTGATAATAATGTCTATTTCGAAGAAGCTTTTAGGTTTGTTTATAGTAAATTCACTTAAGAGAATATTGAAAAGATTGGTGTAATAGTTTATAAATTTAATCCATTGTGTGATATTGTTGCAAGATTGAAATTAATTAATGGAGATATGTTATGAATAGTTAGATATACAAGGAGAATAGATGTAAAAATGCTTTGAAAAGTGGTTGGAGGGAATTGTTTTTTATTGAAAATTCAGGTTAGGATAATCTGTTTACTTTTGAACTGTGTATTGATTATTTGAATAAGGCTACTGTAAAGATATTTTATTTGATGATTGGTATACTTGAGTAAATCAATATTGAATTTGTATATGAAAAAGCAGATAATTGTGGATAGTCAGGAAGCATTTAGACTAAGTGAAGTGAGAATTGATCAGAAGAGAAGAAGAAAATTAAGATTCAAATTGTATGTAAAAAGTACCTGAGAATTATATATAGTAATTATATTGTTATTTAAGAAGTAGATTGTATAGTGTGTTAGTGTTAAGGATAAAGGTTAATAGGAAATAGTTATAGTTGAAGTATAAAGGAATTGGAAGGAAAGGCTATTGATAAGTTCTTGCAAGTTATTGAGAATGTAATAGGTACCATTTCTCTTTGTTGACCATATGGATTTGATTTGATTGATATTAAAGGTTTTGAAGTATGGTTATATATTATAGGTACATATTTCCAAGCATTTGGTATTGTTAGCTATGTAGTGGGAACCTATAATCCTTTATCATATAATAGTATTGTGTTTGACCTTGATAAAATTTAATGTGTTGGAATTTGCTAAATATGCTCAGAACTGGTGTCTGCAGTTAAGTACTGATAGTGTGTTTCCAATAATTGTAGAGCTTGATTATGGAATATTTGTGAACCAGGTAGAAGCAAGACCAGTTAATATATAACCTTTGTATATGTAGAGTTTTTGCCATAAAAGTTTGTCATCTGTTCCAAAGACAAATAGGTTTTGTATTGTTTTAAGGTTAGCATAATAGAGCATAAGAGTTACCTTTTTGTTAACTTTAATAAAAAAACTAATTGACTGCTGATGGTTTGGTATTTCGAAAGAACATGGAAAAGAACAAATGTTGATATTATATTTTTTTGCTAGCTGAGCTGTTGCTATTAGCTATAATGTTTTGAAGAAAGATAAGTCACATATGGGACATAATCAAATTGCACTTGCTACTTGTATAGACTTTATTTCATTTCTGATATAAGTAAGGATTTTTGGATTGGTGAGCTTGATAATTAAAAGTTTAATATTTGTGAGATTCCTTCTGTTTTCAAGCTTGATAATATTAAGGCCTGCATGTGAAAAAATGATTTTGTTTAAGATTGTTTTTTCTATGTCCATTTTGTTTTTAATTGTTTTGTTTATCTTTGCTTATAACTTGTTTAGGCCTGTATCAGTTAGAGTGGTAACTTGTATGGCATAATTCAATTGTGTTAGGATTATCCAGTAAGATGCTTGCCTTATAATTGGTCCATTTCAACTCTTTTGATTTAAAATTGCCTTTGTGAAATTGCTAATTTGTTTATTCGAATATTTTATAATTTTTTTTTTTTTTTTTTTTTTTTTATAGAGACAAAGTATATTATATATGAACTTTATTAACTTAGCATTGAAGTTACAATTATTATATAAAGAGTTTGACTAACTGTATTAGCTATTCTAACCCTGACATCACCTTTAATTCTAACCTGGTTACCAACTAACACCCTGGAGGTGGGTTCGCAATCCAGGCGTGGTCTATTCGAAGGGTATTTTTATTACTTGCCACCGTTATTAGGATTCTTATCACGTCTCACCTACCACCACCTGACCCCAGCTGTAGCTCGGACTGATTGATGCAGATATGTACTCTCTAGTGAATGCTCCAGTTTGCCGCCGATTGGACACTACCAAATCTAGAGGCCATATGGCCAAATGGGCATGACTCCTTAAGAAATAACCCTTAATCTTCTAGTAGACATTCTGTTACAGGCCGGTTGGCATAGGCTGCCAAGCCTAGGAGTATAAAATATTTTAGAAAAGATCTATGGGTCCATGGCACAGTGGTAATGCCTTATAGATCATCAGGAGAAGGTCTAGGATTCAAACCCATCTGGTTACAAAAAATTTATCATCTTTATGATTGGTTGACTGGCTTCCAATTCATGTCATACCCAATCAGCCAACAATCTGTTTTCAAATTTAGCTAGGCTGTATAAAGATGGGACCTCTGATCTTCCTGACGATCACGGGCTGAAAACAGGTTGAATCAAGGAAGGTTGCACAAGGAAAAGTTTCTGGTCTAACTCTGGTATAAGTCTACAACTCTAATCAAAACTGGCGACGGCAGACTCTATCACATAAGAACATTCTAGCCTGGGGCTATCCTAATCTGGCACTTGCTTAAAAGAAGGTTATATCTCAAATAAATGTACTAGGTATAATTGGAAGCTACAGGTGGTGACAAAGAGTGATTTACCTTCTCCGAGGTTCTGGGTAAAAAATATATACAGGGATATCTGGATATTCCACAACCATACTCCTGAAAGATAATAATTGTGCCTCTCCCATGATGGATGCAGTCGAGACAGAATCTAGATTAGGTTAGATAGTTTATAAACTAGTAGTAGGATTTTCTATCCCCTAAAGATCCCACTCAGGATGTGGATCCACCTTCAAGGTGTTCAATTGGTATACTGGGTAAGTCTATAGGTATAGAAGCAAGGTTAACTTAAATGGACTTTAGTGTATCTGTAATTGGATATAAACTACTCAATAAAATATATATGCACAAAGTATCTTTCACTCAAAAAAAAAAAAAAAAAAATTTAGAAAAATTAATATATATTTTTATAAACTTTTTAAAATTAAATTAGATTTATATATATATTTTTTCTTATTAATTCAAGATAAAAAAAATTAGGATTTTTGATTATTTTAATAGTTTTTATAAAATAAATATCTTTTAATTATTTTAATAACTCTTATAAAATAAATATTTTTTAATTAAAATAAATTAATAAGTTAAACAATTTAAAATTAATTATAGATTTTTTATCTAATTGATAAATTCACTTTTATAATATAAACTTATATAATTGAATTAATAGGCAAGTAATATTAGTTAATATCTAAAACAAACTATTTATATAAAATAATATATAATTTTTTAAAAAACGTTTTTTTTAATTTTTTTAAAAACTTCTTTTTTAAAGAAATTTTAATAAAAATAAATATAGAAATTATTATTATATTATTTTTTTTTAAAAAAATTATAAATTGTTTTTTTAATTATAATTTAAGAGATTTAATTGTTACAAGTGAAAAATGAATATTAGGTATATTGAAAAAAAAATTGATGTTTTTTTTAAATGATTACAAATTTGAAATATAAATTTTTACTATAGTAAATTTTTTTTAAAAAAAGTTAATTACAAAATCAAAAAAAAAAAAAAAGTTCAATTTATAAAAAAATTATTAAATGGTTTTTATCATATTTTTGTAAAATTAATTTTAATAAAACAGAATTTTTTTAATAGCAAAATTATCAAACAAAACAGAATTTTTTTAAAATATATTCTTATTAAACAAAATTATCTATTGAGATAATTCTAATAATCTATTATTAATAATTTGTTCTAATGAATTTAAATTTAATAAATTTTTTTTTTAAGAAATTTTCAAGTTAAGATTTATATAAATTCTTAAAGTTTTATATACAGTATGTCATCTGTTTTTTTCAATAAGCTAATTAATTATTTGATATTAAAATTATTAATAAATCGATAATAAATAAAAATTTAATATATTTATTGTAGCCAATCTTTTGATAAATTACAGTATATACTATTATAAATAATATACATGTATCACGTGATCGATGATTAATGATGTATGACGCGAGCAAACATAAATAACATCGATTTTTCGTGAATCCTGTTTTTTAACCTTTTTTAATTTCTTTAATAAGGTGGTGGTTCTAGAGTATTCTCGTATCTTTTATTGCGCTCTCTCTTATAGAATACTTATATCCTTTTTTTTTTTGTAATAAGGTTAAAATACAAAGGCCATGGAAGACACCCAAGCCCTCGAAATTTGCCAGTCACCATTGAATTCATCGCGTCATGTCAATACAGGTGACGAAAAAGATTTATTGTTGACATCGAGCGTTCGGTCGACACGTTCGCATGACCTACTTGATCAGGAAAATGCACCTAAGGTTTGTGTTGTTGACTGTACAATCAATTGAAACGGGTGCTTTTATCACGGGCGAGATCTTTTGATGCATTAGCATTTACTTTTGTAGAAACGTAAGAACGTTTTTCACGTGACAGTGCCAAAGCCTTTCAGATTTCACACCACGTCGCGTTCAGATTCTCATAATGACGACCAACAAAAAAAAACCATTGCACCTTTGACACCCAGAATTCAAAATGAACTTAATGGTTCGCCCAAAAGTGTCAGCAAAAAAATAATAAACAAGGTTGAATCTAAATTTCCGATATTTCTTCTGATATGATTATTTTTTTTTTAAATACTAACAATGAATTTTTATAAAGACAAACTTGACTGTGCCTAGATCACCTATGTTACACACTAAATATAGAACAAAACCCCCAAGGTAAACTTTAGCCGCAGAATTATTTTAATTATTTTGTCTTGAAATTATGTTCACACCAATTTATTGTAGATATTTGCCAACTGAGGAACAAGAAATTCAAGAAATGAAACAATATACTTTTAAGGCAATCCCGGTAGTTACTAGAGTACTATAATCCTTTATTTTATAATTCAAGATCATTAAATTCGCGTAATTAAGTATAGATCAAATTTTCAACGAAATATTTCCAAAATTTTTAGGTTAAAGATTTAGGCGTATCCAAAGATTTAAAGCCCCAATTAACAATACCAACGTCGCCAGCAATAACCAAACCAAAAGCTATACAAAAGAAACCACTCACTCCGCAGCCAGTCGTCAAAGCTCATCCTGTACCGGACTTCAAGGAACCATTTGTGCCGACCATCGAGCATCGGAAAATCGATTTACCAATTTTTACATTGCCTGGGGACGAGATTCATAAACGAAAATCAAATGAAATCGAAGAAAAAATACAGAGGGAACTGGAAGAGATGGTGAATGCACGTAAATTCAAGGCACAACCACTCCCAAGCGATTCACCCGATCGTTTACCACCGCGCCATTACTATCCGCTAACTCATCCAAGGCCATTCAGGTTAGAAACGGAAAGTCGGGGCGAGAAATATCAACGATATTTCCATGAAAGGTTAAGAGAGATGAGTGAACGTGAAAAGGAGAATCAATTCCGTGCCACACCACTTCCAAATCTTGAACCACACATTCCAAAGAAACCCGAACTTCCGCCGCCAACCAAACCGATTGAGTTTGTTTTCCATACCAGTACTCGTTTGGAGGAGCGTAAAGCATTTGATGATCAAAGGAAAATACGAGAGTCAGTCGCAGAAATTCTCAGGGAACAAAAGCGAAAAGAAGAGGAGGTACGTGTGTTTAAATCGCAAATCCTCAAAAATGAAAATCAAGATCACGTTCAAGACTTATAAAAAATGATTATTAGGTTAGAAATGCAGAGGAAATACGCCGTTTGCGAGCTGAATTAGTTCATCGTGCTCAACCGATTAAACACTTTGCACCGTTACACATACGACCTTCGAATAAAAGGTCAACGAAAGCAGTGTCACCAATGATCGGCGAAAAGCGACGTAAAATCATGGAAGAACAGAAAAGGTTGTCTCTTCAATCGGACTATAGTAAAGACACATCAATTATGTCATTGCGCCCAAGAGAACCAGAGAAGGAAGTTGGATTAACAAACTCAGTTGAAATCACCGATTCGGAGTTGGTAAAGTCAGTCAGCACCTCTAACTTGGAAAGTTCAAAGAACACTAACATCTACATCAGATCTGAATTACAAAACATGAAGACAGAAGAAAACTCGAAATTCTTTAATTCCATGTTCATCGCTAATTCGGAAGCGTCCGATGGCTCAAATACACAAAAACTGACCGTTTTTGATGGTCCCAAAATGCAAGATTCGGTCAGCGTTATCAGCTCAGAGCTGCAACGGCTGGTCACCATCGATACATATTCAGACATGCAGCTCTAGAAATAATAATATTAATTCTAATGAGTTCTAATGATCCATTGTTTTTTTTTTGTGTTGAACCGTAATTTTTGTAAATAAGAAATTCATTCATCCGGATAATCATAATAAAAGAAAAAAGTTATTAACATCAAAGTTTTAATATTATCATGCGCAAAACAGGATTGGTTAATACGTGGCAAATCCTGATTGATGATATAGTAAATATGAGAGCAAACCTATTTATAAACATTATCGTGTAACGTGTCTTTACAAATCTAGTTTTCACTCAAAATATAACACTCACAAACTTGATCTCACAGCCAAGTTAGTTTCGAAATGGCAATACCAGTGGAAGAATGGTACTACGAAGTACCCTTTATTACGAGGACATATGTTACAGCAGCAGTTCTAACGAGCTTAGCGGTGGTATGAGCACAAAAATGCGCATGTTAGTTTTCTTTTAAAAAAAATGAATTGTTAAATTCATTAATTTTCGGATTCAGCAAGTTGGCCTAGTGAATCCATTTCAACTTTATTTCAATTTTGACAAAATTTTTTATGATCGTCAGGTAAGACGTTACCCCGACTTGATCCATATTTGTCGACCCACTGATTCAAACATTTCGTTCGTTTCAGTACTGGCGCTTAGCCACAAACTTTTTATATTTTGGTCCTCTATCGCTTGATTTTCTATACCATATGTTTTTTCTGTATCCTTTTTAATTTTTGAATTACCATGTGCAAATTCAAGTGTGGGTTAAATCCAAGTGAGTTTTATCTTTAACCTTGGTCAATTTTTTTTGCGATCTAAAAAGAGTACGATATAGCCGTATGCTAGAGGAAGGTTCATTCCGTGGACGAACAGCTGATTATTTTTGGTTATTGTTTCTATCAGCATTAGCTTTACTAGTGAGAAATCTTTTCATTTCTAATTCTAACTTGAATATTTTTCCTTTCATTGTAATCAAGATTAACACATTCACGTAAATTATCTATTTATCAAGCTTCTGTCACCACTTTCAAATATGTTGTTCTTGGGATCACCATTGGCATTTACATTAGTATATATATGGTCGCGAAGAAATCCTTTTATAAGGTTAAACTTTGTAGGTCTATTTGTTTTCAGTGCACCATTTCTTCCTTGGGTTTTACTAGGATTTTCTCTACTATTGAATAATGTTTTCCCTGTTGGTGATGTCATGGGAATTGTTGTGGGTCATGTATATTATTTCTTTGAGGATGTATGGCCAAACGAAAGGGGACGACGATGGTTAAAAACGCCGCAATTAATGTATGTTATCATTAAATATGATGAGCTGTTATGAGGAGAACTGCTAACGTGTTATTACATTTAATAGTGTACGTATGTTTGAAGGTGTTCAAGTTGATCAGTTGGAAAATGAAGCAGCCGCCAATCCTCCAACGAATAACACTTAAACAGTAGTGTTGTCTAAATAAAATAATAATGTACAAGAGTATTGCATTTAGAGTCATTGTTTGAGATTCTAGATTTCAACATATTTACATTACAATATTAGTTGGATAATATAATTTCAGAATTTTTGTGTCTCATTAAATAGTACTGGTTTCTCCATGTCACGTGATTTAAACATGCATTTAAAATTGATCGACAATGTTTTCCCTAACCTCTGCGTCAGACGCGAAATGTCACGAACAAACGCGCAACGGGCTTCTTCCACTAACGAATTAATGCGCACCTCTTCTTTACCTCCATGCCAGACAACGGGAAAGATCAAGTACTTTTTGCACATTACAGTCATCAAAATATCTTTGTTTGGTGAATTATTTGGTGAAGGTGGTCAAATGCTGCGACACAAAAATCCTTCGTTATCGTCATTCAGGCCCAATGTCCGAATTCAATGGCCACCGGCTGGAGGAAGTGAGGATGATGAGACACCAGAAAATTCATTACTTTCGCCGATATACTATGTGATATTACATAATGATGAAAACAAACAATTCATCATCAATGATAAACATTTCATTGAACGACTATCAAAAGTCAGTCCACCAAAAGTTCAACCTCAACATTCGTATTACCTTTCACCATCATCTACCACATCGAAAAACTCCAGACAGTATACTTCAACTACAACGTATGCGGTTCGCACCTCAGTTACCAACCTTTTGTCATATTTCAAAAATATTGGTGGAAAGCTTTATCTAATCATCACGTCACCAAATGCTGAATCTGAGTCTGATCACAAAGATAGAAATACAAACGCAGAGGTTGTCGGATATGCTAAAATTAAAAATCTGACAACGTTGATACTCAATCATCCTCGACCATTTTTGAAGAAGTATCCAATAATGGCCAACGATTTATTAATGAACTGCGACTTTCGTGATCCTAGCATCTTGGACGTTTTAGACAATAGTGGGAATGTACAAATAGGAGAAATTAAGGTGCACGTCGAATTGGAAGAGCATAGAAATTCGAGAACTAATGTTAATTCCATCATCACAAACGATACTCGTCTTTCACCTTCAACGTCAAATTCAGAAAGAACCACCTTCGCCACAAGAAATTTACCTAATACTTTTCATCCAAAGACTGTCGGTCGAAATGTCTTTCCGATTCTGGAGGAACCGAAATCGAATGGCTCAGTAGTAACAATGAAGATGACTAATGATGAAAACGCGAATCAAAAACTCGATGAAACGTTTGCTACCAATCGCAACGATAGAAATAACGTTGATAACAAAACTGTCTATGGCATTTATTCTTGCGGAAATTTAAATGACAAAAAATCACGTGATGTATCAAAGGAAGGACCTTCGTGCCTCAAGGAGCTGCCGTCCACATTAAATATAGCCGTACCCAAGAATCCAGCGGTACGTAATATAATGGAGCGTGCTCTACGGTTGTACAAAGGTTAGTGGATATTAACCGAATCCTATTAGATCTCTGATTGAGATGTTAGTGACTTATGCTATATGTCTCTAAAAAGACATGGGAAGAAGCATGAAAGAAAATCCATTCGCTGATAATGAATTCATGAAAGATAAAAGAAATTCTATTGTTTCACCAAATCATAATCCTTACACTAATACCCATAAGTTAGATGATTTAAAAAAGATATAAAAATATACGTGTATTTTTTGGGATATGGAGAATTTCAATAAACATACAGTCAAATATTAATATATTATATACTGATTTTAAAATAAATTAGTTTTTATATGATAATTTTTATGATTGTATGAGAAATAAAATAATTATATATACAATAATTATTTAATTAAAAAAAACTCTTTTCCACTTCCTTCCTATGTTTGGAAATTTCCTTTTTAGAAAATTCTTGAACCGATTATTTTTGTTTTTTTCCTTTCTTTTCCATAATTTTTTTTTCCTTTTTATATAAATTCTTTTATATATTTTATTATATTTTATATATATGGGTGATTATTTTTGAAGGCAGACCAGAAATTTTTTGATGGGATTCTGAAATTTATACTATATATGTATTGTTTAAAAGTTGGATCCGAAAAAATCATATCTAGCATTTTTGATGCCTTCAAAAATAATTACCCATATATATTTTTTCTTTTTTGTCGAAGCTAGGTTTTTTCTTTCTTCTGAAGTTTTTTTTCAAATTATTATATTCTATTTCATCAATCTTCTGATCAATCAATTTTCTTTATCTGGAAATTAAATAACTTTTACAAGTTATTAATCTGAATTAATTTTTTTTTTTTTATAATTTTTAATATTTCTTATATGCAATAGCAACAAATTAATTATTAATTTATTTATACAATCAAAAAAAACTCTTTTCTGATCACATCCATTTTGTTAAAAATTTTTCTTTTATGGTAATTTTAAGCAAGAAAAAATGGTTTACACTCTTTATTACAAGTAAATTTCAATTCAAAAACTCAAGAATCTTCAAGACAACTGGTGCAGTAGGATGGAACCTCTGGTCAAAGTCTATTCAAGTTTGAAAGTCTTGCTTATTCTTTGGTTGCATGAGGAAATGCCTATGGTAATTCTCTTTTCTTTTTTTCTTTTGTTTTATTGCATACATTCTTATCCTTATTATATCATAAAAACCATTTATTTATATTAATACTATTTTACTTACTAAACAAAATACTTTCAAAAAACATACTCAAACAAAATTGTAGGATCTAATATTTGTTTTAATTCAACCTTCACACATAACTCCACAATAGCAATATTTGTTGTGCCATTTCAAAATTTTCAAAAAATTTCACTCAAAAAACTGAAATCAGTTTACTTCTTTCAGATGATCATTACTATTTAATTATCCAATCAGATTTCATCAAAACAACAAAGCAAAAAACCAAACTTGTTTAAACTAGTTTTTCAGTACAACAACAACAATAATAATAACTCCAAACAATATCAACTACATTATAATTTCTTTGTCATCAAAGTATATACAAACAATAAAAAAACTTAGTAGACTCTGATTCATACAATTGGGCAAGAGGTTTCTTTGGATACACAAACTTTACTATCAAAAATCTTATTGTTTATTTGATTTAATTTCAGCTCTAATTATTTTATTGTTATATATATTTTCAATTTTTTTATATTTAAAAAATCAAAAGATTTCACAAAACTTTCTAAATTGATAGGCATAGCCACTACTCAACTTTATCTAGCACCTTAATATTGCTTTTAAAATTTTTTACAATATTAATTAGATAATATTAAGTAGGCAAGCTAGTATTTAATTTTCCTAAAATAATGAAAAAGATGTTGTTTTTTTCAATAATATATACCTTGTTATATACAAATCAAAATAAAAAGATGTTGTTTTTTTCAATGATGTATACTTTGTTATATATAAATCAAAATAAAGAAATAATATTTATCTATAGGAGAAACCTCTTCAAAAAAATAAATAAATATAATAAATTTTTTTATTTATCCCTTAAATTGTAATGCAGGCAAATTTGCCTGCATATTTAAAATTTTAATAAGTTTCTAAAAAATTTTAATAAAATTTTAAATATTAATTTTTATAACTTACTTATATTATAAGAAATATAGTTTAAGATATTCTTT